CGCGGCCTGGCTGGCGGAGCTGCGTTGTCTCCCGAAAGGCCGCTTCAGGAATGCGGATCAAAGCCGGGCCTGGGAGAACCCCCTCTGTTCCCAGACACTCAGAGCCATCTCTGAGCAATCCAGCATGCTCTGTTTGCTGGCGCGCGGACCGGGGCGCGCCGGGGCCGGGAGCACTCGGCGTGGACTTCCCCGCGCTGATGTAATGATGATGGATGCGGCGGCGCGGCTGCAGACGGCGCTGCGCGGGCCGGGAGCTCGGGCAGGGGACGCGGGCGCGGGCAAAAGTGGTGAAAGGCGTGAAAAACATCCCTTGCCACCGTCGGAGGAAACCAGAACCTGAAGGGAACTCGACGGGAAAGCGCGGAGAGCGAGCGAGCTTTCAAACAAAATTGGCCACACCGGTACAACCTGAGCAAAACAATTACCGTAATCAATGGGGACTCGCCTTTGTAACGTTGAAAGTTTCTGCCTGGGGCTCCCCTGGTCCCCCGCCCCTTGCAGCTCTGAGTGGTGACTCTAAAGAGGACGACTTGAGGCGTCTGTGTGCAAGTGCCGTTTAACATGTAGGTCCTCGCAAGAATTCGCCAGTGTGGTAAAGGTTGCTGTTCTCTTGCTCGCTTTCAAATGCAGACGTGCACGGCAGCATCACCAGGTCAGTGGCTCCAGGAAGCTTTAAATGCCTTGTGTTGTAGGAGGTTGACGCAGGTTCAGATTTATAATTTAGAAAGAAAAGACCCACCTGCAGGCAGGTTGCAAATAGGAGACGGATTAGATTTAAAATAGGATCTGGAATTAATTGTGCCCTGGGTTTAGGCCTCGGGGAAATTACAAAAGGTTCAAGGACAGTAGAGTGGGAAAAAGCCTTGACTGTTTGCTTTTGGGAAGGAATGTTTATCCCTCCTTTTACCTATGAAACTTCAAGCTTTAGGAGGGATATACCATTAGAGCAATTTTCCTTGGTTCCTTTTTTTTTTTTTTTTTTTTTTTTTTTCACTGAGCTGCTGGGACTCAAACATCAGCTACAAACATTTTTCCCTTTAAGCATGAAAAGTCAGGGGGCATGCCAGCAAATCTTGCATGTAATGTTTCAGTGGTGAAAGAGATTGAAGGAGAACAGTGTAGAGTTTTAAGCAAGGAAACTGTATCAGGGGAAAAAAGTATCATTTCATTCACATCTGAAAAATAGTGGCCTGTTTTCCTCAGGGAAAAGTCTTTGAAGTGAAGCAGAACTTAAAGTTTTCCCTTGATGCTTAAGTTCGAAATTATACTTGACTATTTTAAAAATTCCAGGTTTTAAAAGTGTCATGGAGCTACTGCCCTAGTGGTGTTTCGGAATTCCATGAGGAATTTTTACTGGTCACTTCTATCACGAATGCTTGATTGGACCAGCTCAGGACTGACTTTCCAAACTCCTCTTAACTAGTCCTTGAAAATTCCATCACCACAACTCAAAACGGCCACGGTTTGCCGCTCACTGACTCTTCACCCACAGTTTGATGAGATGTGGGTGTCTAGCATGTTAAAACTTTCTCCTTTGTAACTGACAGGGACAAAGTTGTAAAATAAGCTGATATAATTTATAGGAATGTACAGGAAGCAGATGTCTGATTTGGCACGTTGCCATCTCTATAGCCCTGTTCCAAGCAGAAACCACACTTTTAAATAATTAGTTACTTACTAATGAGATCCAAAAATAAGTTGTCAAAATAGAAGAAGGGGGTAGATTGTTGAGTGACCAAGGGCCTGTTTTTAAAAATTCCATTTCAGATGGGGGAGGGGATGGGGGTTTGGAATTAGTATTCTCTAAGACCATTAATTAGTGTGATTTCAGTCAGTGCCTGGAGCTTTACCTCTTCTCACTGAGCCTCTCTCTATGGTGATGAGCATTGGGAGGGTTTTATTGCTTTGTTAAAGTCCTTTGCCTCTGGGGGAAAAACCAACAACCAAGTTTGTCAAGGAATTTTGGGAACTTGTCTCCTGATTCCTATTAATTAGCACCCACTACTTAGGAAGATACTTAGTTCTTACTAGGAATCCCATCTCTTAATGGGGTTTTCTGAACCATTTGCATGTTTCAGTGTGCAGTTTTAACGTTGTATGCTCTACCCAAATGCGGCCAATAAAACTGTTATGTGTGTGTTGAAGGGAACAATTATAGCGTAGTAAATGCCTGTTTACCTCAAATGGTTAAGAATGGAGTGTTTCTATTAGTTAAATATTTTTGCTAAAGTTTTTAGTTTTTATAGAATTTGCCAGTCTTCAAGGAAACTGAATATGAAAAGAAAATGTATGTAGCTAAACCAATGGTGATGGAAATTCAAGACACTGCAGTCTTGTAAGTCACAGGGTCATTGAGGAGGTCATTTGTGTGCTCAGTAAACTAAGCACATAAAGTAAATTCTCACCTGAACTAAGAAGAAAGTAAAAGCCTTGTCCTCATGGGGCTTACAGTCTGGAAAGAGGAGGAGGATGTTCAACACAGACTTTTCCAGATGAAGGAAAGTTTATTGTCATTGTGATGGGTGCTAGGATAGGTTTGTGTAGGCCGTTGGAATTCAGGATTCTAGGGTGTAGCTCATTCATTGATTCATCTGGTCAGCGAAGACTTCAGTGAGTATCTACTGCAATGGGTATACAGCAGTGAGCAAAAATAAACATGTAGAACAGTTGTTCAAGGCTCACAACTGGTAATCCCAGCACTTTAGAAGGCTGAGGCAGGTGGATCACGAGGTCAGGAGTTTGAGACCAGTCTGGCCAACATAGTGAAACCCCGCCTCAGCTAAAACTACAAAAAATTAGCTGGGTGTGGTGATGTGCACCTGTAATCCCAGCTACTCAGGAGGCTGAGGCAGGAGAATCGTGAACCTGGGAGGTGGAGGTTGCAGTGAGCCAAGATCGCCCCACTGCACTACAGCCCCGGTGACAGTGCGAGACTCTGTCTCAAAAAATAAAAAGTTAAAAAAAAAAAAAAAACAAAAAAAAAAACCAAACCAGCTTTGGCGAATCTGACAATTAGTAATGCTTGCGAAACTTGAGGTTCCTGGGTGCCACCCTCCAAGGCAAATGCGTTGCATGAACCTGAATGTTTAGCAAGCACTGAAGCAACACTGAATGAGAAACAGTGACGCCAGTGGTATTGGATTATTCTTGTGGCATACTTTAAAGATGATATTTAAATCACTTTTGAAGGACCATTGCAAAAAATAATTATTCTGAGATTGTTAGAGCTCGAAGGGACCATCAAAGATTTCTCCTTTAAGGGGTCTCTATCCATATTCTCGAAAAAGCTTGGAAGGTCTGTGAGCCCTTAGAAATTTTGAGTTTAAGGGTATTTTCTGGAGAGAAGCTTTTTAACTTTTAACATGTTCTTAAAGAGGTTGTGCTCCCCCTGCCCAAAGAAAAAGGTCAGATCTCACTGTCTGATTCTGTCATTTGACGGATGAGACCACTGAGGCTCAGCAACAGGTTGCCGGCAACTGTTCACTGTTCACAGCTAGCTCCAGGGGGCGCCATGCAGGAGCCCTGCCCTTGGGACTCAACGCATGGTGGCTGCGCTGGGAAGGGAAATCTCAAGCTCCCTTTTCTGTTGTATAATACTCTGTCAGTGCCCTTTAAGGGGTGTCTCTGAATTTGGAGTGGATCTTACAATTGATATGTAAATTTAACTTAGTGCTTCTCTTTTCTTTTTTATTCTACAAAAGCTGTTCTTAAATAACTTGTGTGTTTTACAATGAATGACACTGGGTAATCTCAGAAAAGAGATGGAAGTGAGTGGAGGAGCTGCTGCTACAGTGTGCCATGTGGCCTCTTGTTCTTAAGCATTCTAGTTACTTGAATTCCAGATCAAGGGGGGAACTTATTTACAATGAAGAGCTCGCAGTTCCCTTGCAAATATGAGTTAAAGTACACTGAAAATATTTTACCTGGGATTTTAACTTTTTCAGTTGGTCGAGCAGTTGCTTATTTCATTTCACTAACCACTGCTGTGATTGAGGATGTTGACATCTACTAAATGTAGAAAAATAAACAGATGGCCAGACCTAAGAAATGCTTTCCACGAATGTTGCAATCTAGATAACCTGAAGAAAACATGCTAGAGAGAGTGCTTTTCCTTTTTTCTTGTATTCTTTGTAGGTGTAGAACATGACTGCAAAGAGGAACATGAACCAGAGTGAAAATTGCTGAATGATGAGTTAGGGCGATTATCACATGAATGAAGCCAGTGAAAGACAAACTTATGGAACCTCCTGTTAGCTGAGTTTCATTATTTCCTAAGTGAGCCCAGTCTTTGCTATTGCAAAGACCTTTCAACTTTTCCTTGTAGAATCAAGAGCATGTTGTTTTATTACCTTTGTCTTAAAACTGTAACTTAAATGAACTGAAATATTCTCATGCTTTAAAGAGGTTAAACAGTATAGCTTACCTGAATGAATTAGGATTAAGAGGCATCCTGCAATTCAGATATTTTCATGAAAGAGGCAAAACTCACTGACCGCTTGGCCTGAATATCCTGATTCCAAACTTGGAATAGGCCTTGGATGTTAGAAATTGTTGGGCGCTCTTTAAAACATCCAATTAATAATTGAAAACCCCCTGCTTTGGAAGTTGCACAAATGCCCCTTCCTGTAAAGCTGGTCACCTGAAGAGACATTTGCAGATGCGGCTTTAAAAAGTAATGTGACACTTGTTTCACATGATAGACACAGTTGCAAATTGAGATTTTTAGACCATTTGATACCAAATGCTCAGTAGGGATTTGGAAAAAGTACCACGTTATGGACATTTCCCTCTGTTCTCTTTTTCGCATGTGTAGATAGAGTTTCACTGGTTTGTTCAACTTTGAGACATTTTTGCCAGAAGACCTATGGAGAAGTGTCACCCACATTTTGAATTTAGGCTTTTCTCAGATGACAGGTGAAGTGGACTTCGGAAAGTATTTTTTTTTTTTTTTTTTTTTTTCCCACCGTTTTGGGAAGTTGATGGCTCTGTTGTTTTCTTTAGGCGTTTTTGGTCGAAGAGAGATGAAGTAATGAGAAGACATCATGGAGGCCCAGTCCCACAGCTCCACGGCCACTGAAAAGAAAAAAGTTGAGAATTCCATAGTGAAGTGCTCCACTCGAGCAGATGTGAGTGAGAAAGCCGTTGCCTCCAGCACCACTTCCAATGGTGAGCAGCACAGGGATTACCAGCAGCCCAGCCTGGAGTCATTTCTGTGTTCTCTGCATTCCTTGTGAATTGAGCGTTTGCACCTGGACCAGTGTTTGTTCTAGGAGAGGCTAAAGAAAGCAAATGGGGTTGGGGGGGGCGGGGCGTGGAATTTAGTAATCTCTATTTTGGCACTCAGTTCACATGTTGACTTCCAAACTTTCTGATTTGAGATGTAAATGTGATAGGTTATTTGTTATCAGAAGTTCCTGTTTAGGTATTTTGGAAATCATCTTGACTAGTCTGGCAAGAGTTCAAAATGCTTTGGGTTGCATGTGGATCATCTATACTACTCGGAATAATTAGTACAAAGACACAAAAGTTGTCTTGTCGAAATTAGTGACAGGACACGAATGTCCCCCCACCCAACTTTAAGGCTTGTTAATGATTGAACCTCAAGGTAATGCTGGTATCTGACAGGCAGGTTTTGTTGTTAGCTTATAAAAATTTAATTTACTCATTTGTGTTCAGACTTAACATAGAGCCACTGTTTCTGTATTCTGTATTTTTAAATTTTAAGCCAAGTGTTGAGAGGCATTTCAGTTCAAGCATGGAGTGTTGAAAATAAATTTCAGAGCCCCCCCTGCCCCGCCCGGTACAAACAGGCTGAATATGTTAATGATATCTTTCACTCCTGTCCCTGCTGTTTCTCGATTGTGGGCCACTAATGCCTTTACTTTTTGTAGATTTCATAGCCATTCCTGGCTTCCCTGAATTTCTCTGCTTTTCCATGGACCTTTAGGAAGAATGAGCTGGCCCTTTCTCCTAGTTCCTGGACACTGCCTATCTGAGTACACTGATTTGTATGAGCCAACCTGCTATTCGTATATTTTCTATATTCCAAGACAGGTGTTACTAGATTGATTTACAAGTTCTTACATACACTTGTAAGAGTCAGAATCTCCTTTGGAAGGTAACCCTGGTCCGGAATGTTAGACTCCAAGGGCAGATACTTCCAAGAAGCCTGGCCACTTCTCTGTGGGCCTCTCCACGCCTGCTGAGGCCTGCGCTTCTCACCTGCACTTCAACAGGTTTCATGAGTGTGCTTTGCCGACTGCATTGGGTATGGAAGGAGCTGGCTCTCTAACTTGTTGGCAAATGACTCCAACTTTAAATTGATCCTTAGGGAGATATGTTTATGTCTAAGTTAAAATAATGAATTTACATATATGTGAAAATACTTCTTCCTTTATTGATGGTGTTTGAAGTCAAGACTGGAGCTTATTTTAATTGAGCCAGAATATTTGCATTTTTCATGCAATAGAAGGCATTTCTCCTAAAAAATATGTTGCCCTGGTTTCTTTTTTCTGGAATTGGTAAAAATTAGGCACATTTATTGTTTTGGAAATAGGATCAATATATGCAGTGTTGGTTATTTGGGAATTTTTGCAGTGATTTTGTAAGAATAAAGGCTTTCGATGTATTTTGCTTCAGGAAACACCAACTTTTGGTGATCTTTATAGTTTGAGTGTACCTGCCTGTGTGTGAGGGCGTGGGTGAGTGTGAGTGTGTAAGGGGTGGGTGTGTGAGGATGTGAGTGTGGGTGAGTGTAGGCACGAGTGTGTAGATGTGCAAGTGTGTGTGGTAGGAATAACTGTGAGCATGCATGTGTGTGAATGTGAACAAGTACATGGCAGGAGATGCTGCTGCGCTTTGCGAAGCCCGTCATGTTTGTGAATCCCAGCTGCACGGCCAGAGTTTCATTCTTATGAAGATGCTGTTGTGTCTGCCACTCCCACACCTGAGGCATATACTCAGGAGGTTTTTCCACTGCAGCTGCATTTGTCTTGAGTTGCTCCTGGACCTCCGGTTTCCCTCGTGATTCTGTTGAGGGTGACTGGGAACAGAACTAACCTGACCAGCCCCACAGCAGCCAGAAAGCCACAAGATAAAACTAGCTAGAGAAGGAGCAGTCATGGTTTACAAATGTTAGTGCTACAGTTTTCAATAATCGCCTGTTTCCTCAACCACACTCCACTGGCTTCTGGCCTTAATCAGCTTGTGCCCTTGATGCCCACATTTTCTCCTAAATGTGTAGGAGCTCTGTCCTGTTTGGGGGCAGACACTCATTGGTCAAACCTGGAGGACACATGCCTAAATGATAGCTAGCCTAGAAGTCTGGCGAACTCTGACCATTTTTTCAGTGTTCCTATTTTTTCTACGAGATTTACGGTTTTATATTTTGGGACAAAAATCAAATAAGAGAAAAATGGAAGTGATGTTTTTGAGCGTGGATGGTAAGCTGACAGGCGGATTCTTGGGAAACTAGACAGGGACAAGAAAAAGAAAGGACAGTAAACTTTTTTCTTTGTGTATGTGACGCTGATAATTACCATGGTCTTTTTTACAGAGTCTTCTAAGTTTTCATCTAACTAGCTCAGAGCCTCTTTACAGTCCCAGGATTATGCTGAGGGGCGTGGATTGCCTGAAGCACGGAGGCCCTATCTTCCAAAACCTGGTCACCTGCTGCCTCTGCACTCAGCCTTGGTCACAGGGACTGGTGTGTGGGCTTTGGACCTGGCCCTGTTTGGGTTCAGAGCTCTAGTGGGGTGCAGGCTTTCCAAGGTGGGGCACTACCTGTGTGCTGGCTGGTGGCTGACATCACCATGGCCCTCCGTCGTTCCATCCATCTGTCTGTTCCTCAGTCCCCCTTCCTATCTTTTCTCTGTTTCTCTACAAACATTTCAGAAATGCTTGGACACCTGCACTGAGGCTATTCGTAGAAAGGAAACAGACTCATGTGGATGCTATAACAGGTAGCACTGATTGCTACTGTTTCCAGGAGATTTCTTGTGCCTTTTTTTACAAAGCTCTGAAATATATCCATTTGTAACTCAACAATTAAAAATGAGTTCAGTTTCAAAAACCAAATGAATATGATACCTGCATTTTCTCTCCCATCTAACATTTTATGATTAAAGTCAAACAAATGAAGAAAAAAGTTTTGTTACTGGCTGAGTTATTGGTGAGGTTGCTTTAATTAACTTTTCCAGCCATTCTGTGGTGCAATTTGTTCTTGATTGTGAGCTTCCCAGCCAAACCACTTGCATTCCACTGCATGTCCTTACAGATCTGTTTTCATACTTTCTCAGCGGAGTATCTGCTCCTGGAATAACATTTGTATAGTGTTTTGTTTAAACATACAGAGACCCACAACCAAAAAGTATAGTTCAGAAAACCTGAACAGCTTTTTAAAGAGGCATTTACCACCTAACACTGAAATTTAAAATAATGCAAGTGAAAAACTGTGTTCTAGATCTTGTATAACAAAAAGAAGCAAGGCAAATTTGATTTTTGTAACATTTAAGAACCTATATCAACATATAAAGCCTTTAGTAATCTTTATGCGGGAAGTACAGTGTACCCACAGTTTCACGTGCCCATAGTTTGATTTTTAACTTTAAGTGTTATATTTGAAGTGTAAATGACAAAGGAGATGACATTTAGTTTTCTGAATTATTTAAGTGCAGTTGTGATTTGTGATCATTTTTGGCATTCACACGGTGGCTTTCCCATAGAAAGTCTGCATGCGGATGGTAGGTGTAATTGTTGACTTTAAAATGTCCAAGTCCGTTAATCTGTGAAGACTGTAAGTAAAATACCTTAATAATCCCTTTTTGGTATAGATTCATTACTTCATAAGCTACATGCTGTGTTTTCTAAATAAGAAGAGTTTTTTAATCTTAATCTTCCAATGTTCTACATGTTCTCATTCTCTTATAAAATTATTTTCAATGATTTGTAAATACTGAACTTCTCAATTTGAAGTGTTTTGCCTCATTTTTGGCTCATAATTTTGTTTTAAAGGAGTAATTCGATAGTTCCTATTAATCTACAACTCTGCTTTTAAAAACGAAACTAATGATAAACATGTGTAGGCTGTGGTCTTGGGGATCTTTTATCAGATCTGATAGTTATTGGGAACATACTTTAAAGTGATAAAAAGCAGAAATTATTATACTAATGCTGATGCAATGTGAAACCTAAGTTGATAGATTAATGATGTAAAGGAAGTTCCTTGTTCGCTTTGATTCTTTCTAAAAGAAGAATTTGGTTCTTCGCTTAAAAAATTATTTTCTTCAAGGTTGGTAAGGGGAAAGTGCTATGGTCTGCAAATTCCTAAGGAGATTTTTTTTTTTTTCTTTAACTTTTGGTTACTTCCTGGCCTTGCAATTTGCTTTTACACTGTCCATTGCGTGGGTGTTATTAGGTTGGTGCAAAGGTAATTGTGGTTTTTGCCTTTAAAAGTAATGACAAAAACCGCAGTTACTTTTGCACCAACCAATAATTGTCATGTCTGATGGTCTTTCTAGCTGAGAGTCAGATGGCTTTAAGTTTTGTTGGGCGTTTGGAATTCATCTGCTGTTCTTTACCATGAATTCTCGTCTCCTTGACTTTTTTATGGTAAGAGTCTATGTGCCCAGTTCTGCTCTGAAATGGACAGGTGGTTCACACCACAAAGACCATAGGTTGTGAGTTTTTCGTTTCCTGTTTCTGGAAAGGTCCAGCCCTTTTCCTTTGCCACATCCCATTTCCTGGCACGTGGCAGATAAGTGGAAAGGATGTTCAGATAAAATGGATTTCAGATTATAGGATGTTCATTTGCACACATAGGTTTGGGGATCTAAAAGCTTGGTTTGAGTTCTGGTAGCATGAAGGTCTAGCCATGTGAGTGTAGGCAGATTAACTTTTCAGCGTTCCAATTTTCTTAACAGTTTAGCAAGATAATAGTAAGACCTACTTCACAGCTGCCATGTCATAAACATACAGAAAGGGCTTGGCAAACGTTAGCCATTGCTATTAGGACAAAGCATGCTGGTGAGTTAAACATTGAGAATCCAAAACAAAAAGATTGTGTTTTCTTGAACGTACACATAGGTTTTCAAATTTATAGAAATATGTTTGGCAAAACTAATGGTGAATTTGCTGGGCTCAGATGTCTGAAAAATAGTTCAAGATGT